GGCTGCCGCTGATGCCACCAGGCTAACTCCTACCAGGACTGCCAAGGTGGCTGACTTCTTTTTCCAGGTTCCTTCTTTCCCTGTGGATAAAACATCATACACCTCTCCTGGTGTGTATAGGGTTAGTTTGGGGATGAGAATGACCGGAGCACAGGTGTCCTTAATCTGTGGAGAGATGCAGGAGTATATTTTGGAAGAACGGAGAAAGAGCAGTCCCGAGGATAGAGCAGTATTTTCCGTAATTGTGACATTTTGGCTTGATGAGTGTGGGCATTTAGAGGTTCGTGGAGTCCAACACTCTGTTTTGTTAAGAAAAAGGGGAGGGGCAGGCATGGGCCCGTGTACTAGAAGTTCCCCAGAACACTGACTAGTGGCCTGCGGAGTAACACTGTAAACTGAGAGAGGGAGAGAAGTGAACCCTGCAGGGGGGCACAGAGAAAGCAAGTGGAGACATTAGCATTAGAGGAGTTTATCAGGAGATTAACTGATAAAGTGACAATGCGATCCCAAGAGAAGCTTCGGGAGGCATTGAAGCTTTGAAGCTGCTTCATGGCCATGCCCAGTGTCTGATCTAAGACTTTCATAGCTCTTTGGGGTAGGACAGTCCAGGTTAGTTTGGAAGGCATTCCAGGGTCAGGGTCCCCCCAGGTGAATGCAAAGAGGTTATGAGAGTCAGGGTGTAAGGGTATTGAGAAAAAAGCATCTTTAATGTCTAATACAGAAAAGTGGGTGGTGGAAGAGAGGATGTGAGAAAGAAGAGTGTAGGGGTTGGGAACCACTGGGTGAATGGGAATAACTGCTGAGTTAATACGCTAGAGATCCTGGACCAGATGGTAGGAGCCATCAGGCTTGAGGACCAGAAGAATGGGAGTGTTATATGGAGAGTGAGTGGGTTTAAGGAGGTTAGCTCTCATAAGCCTTTGAATTATGGGCTTAAGTCCATAGCGGTGTTTGAGTGCAATTGGGTATTGGGATCTGCTGGGAAATAGGGAGGGGTCCTTCAAGAGAATGCGGATAGGAGGGTGATGAGAGGCTAGTCCTGGGGCTGAGGTGTCCCAGACCTTGGGATTGACTTCAGTGGGGGGAAGGGGCAAAGATCTGGCTTGGGGGGGAGAAGGTACAAGGGAAAGGAGAAACACTGTGGAGAATGAGAGAGAAATAGAAAGGGAGAGCTTTTGCATGAGATCTCTGCCAAGTAGGGGGGTTGGGCAGGTGGGCATAACCAGGAAGGAGTGAGTTAAAGGCACCTTCCAGAATACACAGGCTAAGGGTCCTGTTGATTTGGGGTTGTGAGGCTTCCCACCAACCCCCACCACAGAGATCTGTGAGGGAAAAACTTTACCAGAGTAGGAAGGGAGAACTGACCATGATGCGCCAGTGTCAATAATGAAATCAATAATCTTACCTGCCACCGTGGCTGAAACCCTGGGCTCCTCCATTGTGATAATCATAGAAGCGGTGGGGGCCGAGAAGCCAGAGCGTCATAA